TGAGTATTTTGTACTGCTTCTTTCTTGTTCAAATTTTGGCAGGTTATATTTAAAGCTTCTTAGACATCCCTCTCCTAGCAATACGTCTACAAGGTGTTTGATCAATTGCCAAGAGGTACAAACATACTTTTCTTCTGATATTTTTCCCGTTTCTTTTTTTTCCTGTTATGTTCACGTTCGAGATGCTCGCTTGGCTGTTTGACTGAATCGGAGGTGATTCGGGAGCTGTCCGGACGTTTGCCGGGCTGAAACGGAGTGGTTCGGGGCTGTCCGGGCTGAAACGAGCGTGTTCGAGAGCTATTTGGGATTGTTTGAGAGCTGGCGGGCCATAGCGGGGCTATTTCGGAGCCGTTTGTGCTGAAGCGGGGCTGTTTTGGAGCCGTTTGTGCTGAAGCGGGGCTGTTTTGGAGCTGTTTGGGCCGAGTCGGGGCTGTTTTGGAGCTGTTCGGGCCGAGCCGGAGCTGTTTGGGCCGAACTGGGGCTGTTTTGGAGCTGTTCGGGCCGAGCCGAGGCTGTTTTGGTCATGGATCTTGCAAGCGGCTCAACACAACCAACTCCACAAAGATCAACTCAACGAGATGGAGCTACTGTCAACACTAGGCCGCTCTGACAACCGCATGGAGAAATACATCAACTTTGCGGCTCAACATCAACTTAGGATGACACATCTCACCAAGCCAAGCTGCTCGGAGGAATCATCAACCTTGTCAAGCTGCACAGAGGAATCAAGCTGCATGGATGACCATCAACCTTGCTGCACAACATCAACACTTAGGACGACACATCTCACCGGTCAAGCTGCACAGAGGGACCATCAATTTTCAACGTAAACTCAAGATAGCGCATCGCAAAGGCCAAGCCGCAAGGAAGAACCATCAACCTTGCCGTTCAACGTCATCTCAGGATAGCGCATCGCAAAGGCCAACTCAACTTTCAGAATTGTGCATTTGAAGTCCAAGTCACGAGTAATCATCACTGACGATCAAACCAAGTGGAGGGACAACATGGACAAACAAGCCATCACCACTATCATGATTTTCCATCACATACATTGCCGAGAAAAGACGATATCAATCAACATGACGTGGACAACAAGCTCTTCTGAAAGATAGAAAGATTTCTTCAAGCAACTTGAAACCACACCAACACCTTTGATTAAGGCGACATAGATCAACATGACATGCGCATCCTTCAGCAAAAGAAGTATTTTGCCACTACATACTTAACATATCATCAATGGACAAAGGCCATGAACCGTATAAACACCACATAGCAATTCATGGTTCAACAATATATTTCAGCATGCAAACACACATAATGGAATAACTCATCACCGGATAGCACTTTGCCGGGAGTAGACGACCAACATGAT